CACAATGGGATGGGGAGAGCTGGGAGAGGGGGGGTCACAAGGTCCTTATGGGAGCAAAGAGGTCCAGGAGCCACAACCCGGGGCGTTTGGGGATGTGCAAGGTCCTGATACACCCCCATCCCACCATGACACCCTGATCCCACCACGACACCCCCATCCCACCATGACACCCCCATCCCACCATGACACCCTGATCCCACCACGACACCCCCATCCCACCATGACACCCTGATCCCACCGTGACACCCTGATCCCACCACGACACCCCCATCCCACCGTGACACCCTGATCCCACCATAACACCCCCATCCCACCATGACACCCTGATCCCACCACGACACCCCAACACCACTGTGACCCCCCCGTCCTCCTCCCCACCCCTGCCAGGGATACCAGTGGCTGAAGGACAAGATCCTGAGCGAGGAGGGCCGGCGGCAGCAGGCGAAGCTGAAGGAGCTGCAGGCCATCGCTGAGCGCCTGGGCTGCACCCTGCCCCAGCTCGCCATCGGTAAGGGGCTGGGGGGACATCAGGGGGGGGTCAGGGTTGAGGGGGGACAGCGGGGGTGGCCGGGCTGCACTCAGGCTCTGCTCTTTCCCCCCCTCCCCAGCCTGGTGCCTGCGCAACGAGGGCGTCAGCTCCGTCTTGCTGGGAGCCTCCAATGCCGACCAGCTGATGGAGAACATCGGAGCAATACAGGTCAGTGCTCCCCAACGCACCAGCACCAGATTGGGGGGGTTTCTCTAGGGTTTGGGGGGTGGGGGGGCAGCGAGCAGACCCCGTTTATGGGGTTTAACGGGGCATCTCCTGCAATCGCTCACGGTGTCGGAAAAGGAGGTTGCAAAGCTGGCTTGAAACAAAAAGGATGGGTTTTGCTCAACACAAAGCAGCTGAGATGGGGCTGGGAGGGCAGGGATGAGCCCAGCCTCGCTTCTCCCCAAGTGGGTCACGCCACAGCACGGGGGGGGAACCAGGAGCAGGGAGGTGGCATGGTGGAGGCGGTGAGTGCGGCACGGCCACGTGGCACCGCCGGCTGCGTCCTCCCCCACACACCCGGGGTCACCAACCCTGACATCCCACCACCCCAAAACGTCCCCCGCAGGTCCTTCCCAAGCTGTCGTCTTCCATCGTCCACGAGATCGATAGCATCCTGGGCAACAAACCCTACAGCAAGAAGGACTACCGATCCTGAGCGCGCCGCCCGAGCCCTCGCCGCCCGTTCGTTCGCTTGCTTAACGCTTTGGTGGAGCCAAGAGGAGAGTGTGGTTCACACCACGAGAGACAAGAGC